GCCGCGTCACGCCTGCAATATGGCATCATTGTTTGGTATAGGAGTCATAAATAATCGGCTTGGTATGGTCGCAGTTGGCTGCGCGTGCGTAAAAGAATCGGTTTGTGGTTGCTGCGCAACATCGCAGGCTACCTGTTGTTCCGACGTCACATTATCCGGATGCGACAACAAGGGTGGTGAAGGTAATGATTGTGTTCACACCAATAGCGTTGGAGGGGAAGTAACGCGACCAGGTAACGATTGAATTAATTCACGTAATCGAGACGCGATCCCATGAAGGCCTTGCCGTTGTTCGCTTTGGCCATTGCTAGTGCCCGGTGCGGAGTCATTTAACACCTGAAGTGCTACGCCCGCGTCAGCTTCGGGCAAGGATTGGTCCGCCGGTTCCGATGATTCTGAATAAAGACGAAGCCCGCCCGTAGGCTGAGTCTCCTCAACGCCTGTAAGCTGTTGAAATGATAAACTAATATTTGGAGTTAATTGTTCACCCGTAGGTTGGTCACGATTGAGAGCGCCACCCGTAGGTTGGTCGCCAATACTTTCAGAAATGTAAGATGCCAAAGAGGTACCAACTCGCCGAAACAAAGCTAGTGCCGATTGAGGAGACATAGCGGCAAGTCGGCGAAGAAGGCTTACTTCTAACTGATCAGCGGCGGCATCCACAGGCATCAGGTCCGCCGCAGCAGACCCACCAGCAGATGTGTTAGCGTCCTGATGCGTAACTGTCTGCTGATCCGGCACATTATTTTCTAGATTGTCCGAAGACTGTCGGCCTTCGGCTGACATAGTAATTCGCACCAATGTGAGAGCGTACCTGATTACTTAGACGGATTTAGCGACTAGACCACTTGTGAAGATCTTGATAAACACCGGGGGTTTCCCTTGGGGATTTATAGTCGCTTGCAGTCCGTCAGAGGCGCTCGGGATAAAGTGCCGTACGATAGTATATATAAGAGAGTCGCACCTTCCAGTGAAGAGTTACGATACAGGTCTGGCTGTGAACGGGCAGACGTGTGCAAGATTGTGTACGGAATCGAGTATGTGTACGAATCGATACAGTCATAGCCGTAGCCATGTACTGCTTAGTATGACTATAGTCTAAAGATGACTTAGATAGTTGTATGTACTGTGTGTACGATATTCGCCTCGACAATGGAATGATAAGAAGAAATGGAGTCCTTACTCGGAAATATCGTAAGTCCTGGGCCAGGCTCTTACATGCACTGATTAGGTCGGTAAACCATGGATAACCCACCTTCAACCCCCGGTAGCCCATGGGTAACCCCCTTGTAAGGTCCTATACAGTGGTAGGGGTAACACGGCCCCAGGGTACCCCCCTCCGTTGCCCTGGACTATCGACATGGGCCTACTGGTCTTATTCGTTGTCCTCTTAGGATGTTTTTGTAAATGTACATGTTAGCAACCTACAGTATCTTGGTATCTCGGGAAGCATCGTTCACCATTTCAAGGTCTCTAATGCTGGCAGGACACATGCAAAGCCATTGTGCTGGAGGCCGGGCATTGAGCAATAAATCTGGCAGGTGCATGCTGCAGGTGTTACAACAGCAATGGGTCAGGGTTCAACGAGGCAGCCATTGGGTCACAGTGCTTGCTTCCTACCAGGTGTAATAACATTTAGGGCCACGAGGACTCTGGTACAGGCCTACCCATCTTTCCTCTCGAGCAGGGAAGCTGGCATCCATGGAGAGGACCTTCCAGGATGTACAGCAGTCATACCGGTGCTGACATACTTGTAAGCCGCACCCTGAACTGATGCCGTGAGCTGTGATGGGCGTCATTTCGTTTACAATGTCAAACTTGACTAGTGTCAGAGTTGAGTGTCAATGGTCGACCTTGGCCATGGCATACCTGACATGGCGACATGTCTCTACATGGATTTCTGCCAAGCAGCCCGCGTCCTGAAAATGTTATACAGGCCTTTTCGATCAGCAACAAAGGTTACAAACACAAATTTTGGCTTGGAACGGACAACCTCAACTTTTCGATCCTCCCCGTTTGGCTGCACTCGAACCTGGCCCAAATGCCATGCTGTAGCAGCCGGAACACAGTACGGCGCTATAAATACGCACAGAGCGCGACCACCAGCAACTCGAGAGACCTTTTCAGCGGTCAGCTGCTAAGCCCGGTACCTTAAAAGTCAACCCCCTCCAATCGCCCTGAAAATTTGACACAACGACCTTCATGACATTAGAATCCCAATGCAACGACTTTTCGCCATGGGCTCAACATTCTGCCGCCACTGACATGGTGTCAGTTTCCCAACGTTGGAACCTGTGTCATACCAATCTCGTTGCCACAGTGCAGTGAAGCCAACACTGCGTCTTCCGTTCATTTTAGTGACTACAGGATTGCTGCAAGCCTGCCACCCTTATTCACCCTCCCTCGTCCCTGATCAGGTGCGTCCCGTTTCCCGCCATTGCCCAATTATCCTCTGCCGCTGCTTCCCCCTCGGGTATTTGAGCGACAACTGGACCGTCTGGGCTCCTGAGGCCCCATCACCACCGTTGCATGCACTAGCATGCATGGCACTTGCACCTGCTCACCCCCTAAAGTCCCACCAATGCCGCCTCTTCCACCTGCTCCACCGCTTCCCATCCCCCACCACTGCTGCTGTTAGGGCTGAACATAGCATGCAGATGCGGCTGCAGCTGCGGTAGCTCGCCTCCTAAGGCCCCATTGCCGCTGCCGATATCGCTGCCACTTGTTCCACCACCACTTTTTCTGCCACCACTGCTACCGTCGCCACCGCTTCCACCTCCACCGCTTCCACAGCAGCCACTTACACCATGTAGCAACCTACATTTACCTTAGAATATCTTTAAGCTATTAAAGCTTAATCACAGTAACGGTACGGTCCCGTAGTTACGAACCATACTCGTTAACTGTACGAACTCACTTTCTGTTACGCTATCACAACCTAGCGTAAAACACCAAGACTCCAGGAATGGAGATGGCGGCAGGTGGGCCGCATTTAAGCCACCCAGGTGAAGTGCTTCGGCCAGACACTTCTGTATCATTATACTAGTGTTCAGGGATCAAGACCTTGCTGTCACCGTTATCAACGTATGTCCTCGAATCCCGACTTCCCTTGTCTCTTTTCGCGCCTAACGCTGGGTCGTCAATCGTGGACGAGACCCCCCTCTTCCGCTAATAAAACAGCTAAGGTAAGAGACGGCTGTTACATTTTGGTATCGACGATCATTTGTTCGGTCCTCGCCTCACATTGCGCCGCAGCAGTTACTCTCCCATTGTCTGAGTCTTAGACTCGACTTTCTGGAAATGGTTCCTAAGCCTATAGCTAAGACTAAGGCTGTTTCTTTGAGCGATGCTAAGCACGTTCCTATTCCGCGACCGAAGTCTAAGGCTAAGGCGCAAATCCCTGCCGATGCTACAACCGCTTCGGACCCACTTCGCGTTGCGAAAGTTAACAAGCGCAAATTAAGGAAACAATCCTTCGCTTCGCTTCGTAAATACCTTTACTCTGTCCCTGTTGATAATGACCTTCAGGACACGATGGCGCCAACGGATAACATCGCGACTGTCCTCGACGCTACGAACAATGACGCGGTTGACGTTACCGCAGCAGTCCCCAAAACCAAAGCGCCTGGCACCTTACCAGCGCATTTGGTGGAGACTTTGCGGGAATCAGTACCTAACCGCGTCAGCGCCTTGGAGCGTTCCCTGGAAGGGACGAAATTCGTGACGACATCCTATCGTTACGAAATTCGACACAGTGCGTGGAGCTGCAGCTTCAGGAGTTAATCTCCAAGTTGTCCACGCCCACCAGCCCACCACCTCCCAATCCACGGTCTGTGGCCATTTGCAGGATTATTAAGCAAGTGGCTGCGTCTTCCTTGGCTGGCATTTTGTCCAAGGAGAGTCTCCAGGTCACCGCTTTTCAGGCGGCCCTGGATTCCTTGACTATGGATCCGGAAATCACCTTAGAGGAGGTCCGGAAGCTTTGGGACACCGGTGCGGTGGAAAGCGGCCCTGGCGGTAGCGCTACGGACTCCGACTCTGTGCGGCCGGCACTACAGCCCACGGGCAAAACGCCGTGTACCGAGGTGAGTACGCAGAAACGCGTTCCGCTTCCTCCAAAATTTTCGGGGAAGAGATACGCATATTACTTGCACCCGATCATGGTTCGAGTTCCTTTTGCAATACTTTGACTTAATGCAAATGAAGGCCACGCAGAGGACGCCCGGGGCACAGTCCCTTTGGTGTTCACACCAACACTTTTCTTCACCATGGTGTTCGGGCCACTCCAGTCAGACACCGGCACCATCGGCTGATTTCACATATCTTCGAGCCTTTTGGCCAATCTCCTGAACTCATTGATATAGGTCTTTTGGCTTGTGGTGTTAGGGTCGATATCGAGGCGGGACTTCACCATCCCACCCATATGATCTCCATAGCCGTAAAGCTGTCTCGTTGGCTCCACAGTCAATGAGCGCCTGTACGGCATCAGCATGACCGAAGACATCTGCGCGGTGAAGTGGGGTACCGTTCTGGGGGGGGGGGAGCGGAGAGAGGGGGAAGGGGGAAGGGGAGTCCAGCCGAAGCAAGGAAGGTCAGGCGGGCAGGTGCAGCAGAGGATGGGCTCCAGAACGAGTCAGCGGTGGAGGAAGGTCCCCTCCACACACCCCAACTCCCCCTAGGACCCGCTTTCCCCTCTCATGGCGGATGCAGGGGTGTATCCGGACGGTTATCCGTACTCCATGTATGTATGTCCCTCTACCTGCAAGGCCCACGCAAATGTGCGCGAGAGAGAGAAAGGAAGAGACAGATATCCCCCTGAGGTCCCGAGGCCCGCCCCTTCAACGCCCATCTCTCCGTGGAGGGTCTCTTCACAGCCCCGCTGCTATCCATCTTTGCACTGCCGGTTGGGGCCAAGGGCTGCAGACCTGCGGGCTGCCGATGCTAAGGGCCCAACCCACCGCCCCACTGGGGGTCTGACAGACTGACATACAGTTGCACCACTAGGCGTCTAACGGGAAAGTGATGCCAGCCCCGCAGGACTTTTGATAGAATCTGCAACCGTCGACACGGTGTGGGGCTGGACCAGGCAGCCCCTTAATACCCCTCTTTTGCCTCCTCTCTGCTCCAACCCCAAACCCCGGTGGCGGACTCACCGATCCTGGCACATTAACGTCGGCTCCCGCCTTGGCCAGCAACCGTATGGTTGCCACATGCCCCCAATCCGCCGCGATGTGCAGGGGTGTTAAGTTCTCGTTCTCCTGTGGGCCGCCGGGTAAAAGGGGGGAAAGATTAGGTGGGCGAGGGAAGGGTGCCAGCTGCCAGAGCACGACATCCATTGGGCTGGGTCACAAAACACCATGCGGTGCGGCAACCCATGCCTCCCCTTCACCATGTTCCTCTCTCTCTCCCCTCTCCCGGACGTCCCCAACCTCTCCCATTCCCTCCACAGTGTGCTCACTAGGGCAGTAGTGCCGTACTGCATATTATGGGTTACCCCACCCCAGTGGATTCCCCATGACCTGGTGTCCGGGGAAAGGGGGGAGGGGGGCAGGAGTGAAATGACTTCCACTGCTAACAAGTCCCTTTTCCCCCTTCCCCTCGCTGCCCCTTCCTCGCCCAGAACCATGAGTCCCTCCCCGCCCCTCCCTCCACGGTCATCACGCACTTGGCCTCGCATCACCACATTTACATCCAGCCCCGCATGTATCAGCTGGCGAATGATGTCCTCCTTGCCCCTGCTTGCCGCGACGTGGAGGCAGGTCCAGCCGTTCTGGGGGCCGAGGGGGCGCCCGGTACGAGAGGGGGTTTAGCTGTGTGACGACTGCCAGAATACGAACCGTACAGTGCAACAACCTGTGCAATTACAGTACAGTACAGTGTGGTACAGCAGTGTACAGCACAGTCTGCAGCATCTCCTCACAACCTGCATGGAGAGTGATATCGCTTCGGGAACACAACGACACATAGCTCCCGCCAGTATGGGGTCATACAGGGGGATGTGGAGTACAGGGGGATGTGGAGTCAGTGCGCCGCCGGGGAGGGGGCCTTGCGGACGCCCTCCCTGGATTGGCTGGCTGGGCTAGCAACTTGCTGCAATGACGTCAACCCACCCCCACAACAACAACAACAGCCAACAACAACGACGACGACAATCTACAACAGTGCCAACTACACCGTCCCCACCACCGCCTACAACAACAATGGCAGCGCCACCACCACCGCCCCTGAGTTGATCTTGAACTGATAGATTACGAACGTTTTAAATTCTGCTGGATTACTGATTTTTAATTTTATGAGTTTAATGAAGATACTAAGAAAATTGATTTTAGCCATAATCCATTTTCCATGCAGCGCCACCACGACACATGCACACACACACACCCTCCCCTTGACCTTTCCATCCCCCTAGCCCCCAGCTGGCCTCCCCGCCGTTCATCGTACGAGCAGTCGTACCATGTCCCTGCACTCGTTGTCGACCCCCGCCTCCAGCAGTACTCGCACCACGTTGGCGGTGCGGTTGTATTGCACGGCCAGGTACAGAGGCGTCTTACTCTCCTAAACAACAAGTCAGGTGGACATACATACATAGGTGCATACATACAAACATACAGATACTTAGTAGCTGCATCTTGTGGATAAGTTGGTGATGGAAATGTTAGTTGGGAGTCGAGGTAAGAATCAGCACGAGCAGTCCAGACTGGCATGTAGATTCGGATGGCCGTGTCCAGGCAGCTCCTTCCCTAGGGCAGGTGTGCGGTCTCTGCTGACTCTCCCAGTTACCCTCTTGCCCCCGGTCCTCTTTGCCCCCTCCCCCCCTCTCTCTCCCCTTTTCCCAACCCCCTTCCTCCCGCTCCCCCCTTCTCCCCCCGTTTCCCCCTATAAAATTGGATACCAAGCCCCCAAGGGGCGAAGTGGGCAAAAAGCCCGCCCACCGACATCTGATCCACCCAACCCAACCTCTGCAACCAAAACTTAGAAACCCCACCACCCCATCACCCATCTGCACCTTCGCCCGTGCCCAATACACACACACTCCTTCCACTCGGGTCCCCCCTTCTCTCTCATCCCCCGCAGCCCTCACTCACATCATCCTCGGCATCTTTGTCGGCCCCAGCTCGCAGCAGCGCCCTCACCGCCGATTCACTGCCCGCCTCGGCAGCCACATGCAGAGGGGTGCGACCGCCCGTGGGGGAGGGG